GTGATATTCAATAGGTACATGACATGACTCTCAGCCTATACGAGTCCTTGACATGACACCCAGCCTATACACATGACTCTCAGCCTATACACATGACTCTCAGCCTATACATGACTCCCAGCCTACCACTATACCTGTAACTTGAATCAATAATTACTCTACCTGTACTGTAATTACCTGACCCTTTATGTTGTACCTGTATATATAATTTCTTTATTAAGTTTCCAAGTCGAAAAAGTCCCCCTCCCCCCCGTGTTAAAACTGCCGAGTCATCAGTGATCCACCCGCACGACCTTGAGGCTCCGAGGTATGCCAACCACAAGCCACATTCCACGACTAAGAGCTCAATGCGGTTTTATTTTTCGACTTTTGTTTTATTTTTATTTTTTTTACTTTTTGTGTACGTTTTTTTCCACTCGATTGTATGTTTGTGTAAAAAAAAAAATATTCCTCATAATTTGTCAGTAAATCCACAGAAAAATCAGATTGAAATGTTAAGTAAATCTACCTAAGTTAGTATATTCTAAAAACAAGTTTACTGAAAGGTTGTATATTAAAAGATTATGTACACGAGGAAAGCTTAAACCTGGATGGCTAAGCTTAAGAGCGTGTTCAGTAGTTTAGACAAAAGCTTCACCCCACATCACCCAAAGGCTATATGGAAGGATGGGGTAGGGTAGGTCAGGTGAGGGTAGGTGAGGGTAGGTTAGGTTAGGTTAGGGTAGGGTAGGTGAGGGTAGGTTAGGTGAGGGTAGGTTAGGTGAGGGTAGGTTAGGTTAGGTAGGGTAGGTGAGGGCAGGGTGGTGTGTGAGGGTAGGTAGGTGAGGGTAGGGTAGGTTGTGTTAGGTAGGGCAGGTGAGGGTAGGGTAGTGAGGGTAGGCTAGGTGAGGGTAGGGTAGGTGAGGGTAGGGGTAGGTGAGGGTAGGTTAGGGGTGAGGGCAGGTTGTGTGAGGGCAGGCTAGGTGAGGTAGGGTAGGGTGGTGGTAGGCTAGGCTAGGTAGTGAGAAGGTGCTTAGTTTAGGATAGGCTTAGGCAAGGCAGGCTAGGTGGGAGGGTAGTCAGTGAGTGGCTAGGTGAGGGTAGGGTAGGTGAGGGTAGGGTAGGTTAGGTGAGGGTAGGGTAGGTGAGGGTAGGGTAGGTTAGGTTAGGGTAGGTTAATCTTCAGGTGAAATAAAAAGGGGTGGAGATTCTTCAGGTGATCCCGTTAAATCAATATACTGTACAGGTAAATAAGAACTGATTAAAAATTACCTTAAACATCAGTATCAAATAACATATAAGTCATTAGGTCTAGTTAAATAAAATACTAAAACAACCAAACTATCCTGTACTTGTTTATTAATGATTTTTAAACTATTTTCGCTCTTAAAGACAAATTGTATAAGTTTTTCCTTTGGTGTTCAATTGGCAATAAAACCTGGACAAGGAACACCACTCTGGACCTATTAAGGGGTAACACTCATCCACCGTCTGGGAGTCGAGCAAAGTTCCGACTCTGCTTCACAAGTTGTCGAACCTGTCACTATGGCACTCCCACACCTCCAGTAGTTTATTCTTCGTCATAGTCAGACACACGAGTACTGCTTGATGATTTATAAGGCTGGTGGTGGTTGATATAGTATTGTACTGTGAACTGCTTCTCAATTTGGGTCGTTACGGCTTCAATCACCAGGATTTTAGTTGTTATAAGTTTTTGTGTGACTGACGATATTGTTATGTGGAGTTGATGTTGACGAGAGCAGTGATGGTTGTTTTACCTGAGTCTGTCATACACGAAGGTTGATGAAAATACACACACACACACACACACACACACACACCTACTTTTTCTCTTTTCCACACTTTGTTTTCTCTCCTACTTTGTTTTTCGCTCTTGTTCTTCCCTACAATGTGTTTTCTCTCTTCTCCTTCCTCTCTCTTCCTAATTTAATTCCTACCTAATTGTAACTTCAAATTAGCTTAATATTAGTCTTTCTCTCATCCTCCTCACAAGTAACGTCGTCTATCTAATACTGTATATAACAATTAAACGCTCAAGTTCATTATCTACAACGAATCGATTTAGACGAAACGTTTGTTATAACGCCCAAAGCATAGAACACAAAAAAATCCCGCCAATAAGACAGAAATGGATAGCCGTTCGCGACAGCCGTGGTAAAAATTCATTACCAAACAATGAAGTCTAGTCCGCGTGTTTACACCAATGTCCACGAAGCTCGATCCCTACCTGCGACTGTGGCTTCGACTTCATAAAATAACAAAATATACACCAATAGCAAAATTACCTTCTTAACTTAACAAAAAATAACAAAAATAATCGACAATGTTAAGAATCTTGATAAAAAAATAATAATAAAATGATAAATAAAAGGAATTAAAGATGAAATGAACCATATAAGGGATTGAGACAGAGGAACGCGAGGAGCGAAGGTTATGTTTGCTGGTGATCTTGAACGCTGGGACAAGTGAGCGAGGCCGTCCGTATTTGCCGTGGAGAAATTACCCTTATTTTTTTTTTATTCTCTGGACAAAATATTTAACTTTATTGTGCAGTACCTGAGGGCAAAGTATATAGAGTTTCATCTTGACAATTTGTATGTATAATTCAATTTCGCATGCATGAGTACACGTGTTGGGTGAGGAAGGCGAACATTTTGTAGTTAGAACGCTGAACCCTGTGTGGACTAGGCTACACGAGGGGGGGTATTATTTTATTATTACTATCACCGTATTACTATTATTATTATTACTATCACCGTATTACTATTATTATTATTACTATCACCGTATTACTATTATTATTATTACTATCACCGTATTACTATTATTATTATTACTATCACCGTATTACTATTATTATTATTACTATCACCGTATTACTATTATTATTATTACTATCACCGTATTACTATTATTATTATTACTATCACCGTATTACTATTATTATTATTACTATCACCGTATTACTATTATTATTATTACTATCACCGTATTACTATTATTATTATTACTATCACCGTATTACTATTATTATTATTACTATCACCGTATTACTATTATTATTATTACTATCACCGTATTACTATTATTATTATTACTATCACCGTATTACTATTATTATTATTACTATCACCGTATTACTATTATTATTATTACTATCACCGTACTACTATTATCATCATCATCGTGTTACTATTAATTATTATTGCTATTATTTATATTTTTACCACCACCTATTATTATTATTATTATTATTATTATTATTATTATTTTTATTATTTTTATTGACATATATAACTCTACAAGAAAGGTAATAAGAACAAAATCTAATAAAGGAGAACAAGAACAGATAGACAATATAAACCGCAAGAGAATAATAAATTAGGAATTAAGGAGTAAGGGTGAATAAACAGGAGACACAAAGGAAGAGAGGAATAATGTGAGAAGAGGTAGGAGACGATACAGAGAGATAGAGAGAGAGGGATAAAGATGGTGAAAGATAGTAAGTAAGAAGAGATAGTGACAGTGAGAAATAGGAGAAATCTAAATAAATATTAATAGAAAAAATAGGAAGAAATTAAATAATAATAATTAAAATAAATATAACCAATTAAGAAAAAATAGAGGTAAAGTTACACAAACATTAAATAATATAAAACAGGTAAACAAAAGAAAGGAAAATGAAGGAACAATAACAAAACTAGACAGACGGAATAAAAACAAGACGAATAATAATAAGAAAAAAAACAAGAACAAAAGAAGGAAGAACAAGAACAAAAAAATAAAATAAAAAAGAACAAAAGTAAGAAAAGAACAAAATGAGGAACAAAAAAAAACAATGAAAAATAAATATAAAAAGGAGAAGAAAAAGAGAAAAGAAAATAAGGAAATAATACAAAAACACAACACCAAAAAATATGAAATAAAAACGATAGAAATAAAAGACATGAGAAAAAATAAGAAAAAATAAGGAAAAAATAATAAGTAAACGATAAAGGGGTGACGATTCTTCAGGTGATTCATTCCTCGTCATCTTCCCCTCTTACCATGGCACTCCCTTACCCACAATTGTCTCTCCCCTCACCCCCTCCCTCAAACCTATCTCCCCTCACCCCCTCCTCCTCAAACGCCTTTCCTCTCCTCTCCTTATCTACTGTACCTCACTAATAGGGGGGCCAAGTTCCCCTTAACCTCTCCAACAAAGAGGGGAGGGGAGAGGAGGGGGGAGGGAAGGAGACGAGGGGGGAGGGGAGGAGACGAGGGGGGAGAGGGGAGGGGTGAGGGGAATCGATTGTCCCCTTAAACACTTCACTGAGGGAGGGGAAATGATGGTCCCCTCTCGTTGTTTGAGGGGAAACATGAAAGGGGTGAGAGGAGGAAGGAAGCAGCTTGAGCGGGAAGGGGAGGGAGGGAGAGGAGGGGAAAGAGAGGGGTGAGGGGAAGATGGTTAAGAAGTAAGGGGAAGGATGCTTGTAAGGGGAAATAAGGGTGGAAGAAAGGAGGAGGGGAGAAGAAGGATGAGGGGAAGATGGTTAAGAAGAAGAGGGAAGGGGAAAGGATGTTTGTGAGGGGAATTATGAGACATGAGAGAGGGGAAATAAAGGGAGGGAAAAGGGAAAGGAAAAATCTGAGGGGAAAAATGAGAAGGAGGGTATGAAAAGGGGAGTAAGGGTTAAGGGGAGAGATCAGAGGGGAGTGAAGAGAGGGGAAGACCTAAGAGGGGAGCTTAAGAGGGATTCAACTCTACAGAATAATAAAGTGAAGTCTTATCAATTATATCCTAGTGTGTGTGTATGCATGCGTGTGTGTGTGTACGTGTGTATGCATGCGTGTGTGTGTACGTGTGTGTGTGTGCACTGTGTATGTGTATGCGTGTGTGAATATGTGCGAGTGTGTATACGTGAGTGGTGTCTGCGTCTGTGTACGTGTGTGTGTGTTAATTTACAGGTAAGGCTAATTTACAGGTGAGGGTAATTTACAGGTAAGATTAATTAACTCACCTGTTTACCGCATGAATTTCCGGCCAAGGTCAACCTATGGGAGAGACAAGATGATAACACTGTGTAAACAACGTATGACAACAGTAAACAAAAACTGATTAATATAAACAACTCATTACTGTACACAACAAACTATTAAACAAATTATTACAATCAAATATAACTAATTAATGTAAACAACGATAAATTACCAAACAACTATAAACTACTACTGTAAACAATTATCAAACTAAGTAAATAATTATCCAAGTACAGTAAACAACACTATATTATTACAGTAAACAACAACAAACACACACGTCACTATAAACTGTAAACACAACACAAAACTCCTTTCTACACCATAAATGCCAAAAATATTAACAATAAACAATATATAAACAAATAAAATAAACAGAATCAAGAGTAAATAAAAACTGAACACAAAATTAATCGGAAAAAAACGACGAAAAAAATGAATAAAAAATAAATTGAAGAAAATAAATTATCACGAAAGAAAAAAATATTCAGATTGAAATTGTTATACATTTACAGAAATGAATATTATTCCCGATAACTAAAAGGTAAATATATATAATTTCAAGATATAAATACGTTAATTATAGGAAGAAAATAATGACAGAAAATAATTATATAGAATTAGGAATTTTTTTTACCTAATATCCAATGAAATAAAACATTGAAAAAAAGTAATAAAATGATAAAATTCAAACAAAATCTAATCTGTAAAAAAAATTCCGAAATAAAAATAAAATATAATCAATAATATAATTTACAGTAGGATATATAAACAAAATCCCGTTAAATATCCTATGGTAGAAATTTCACCATATAGATTGGCGCCAACACTCCCTCCCATAGCTAGCAGATGGTAAGGGCGGGCGGGCGGGCGGTGGAGAATTGACCCGACCGACACGCAAACACACACCGTAATAATTTCCTTTTCATGTTCCTATCACCTTCCAAGAGTATTTCATTTTCGTCTTAACAAAAGCTTGACGATAAAGCATTTCACTGACCTATTAAACAAAAGCTTGAAGATAAAGCATTTCACTGAACTATTAAACAAAAGCTTGAGAGAGATATATTAAGCATTTTACTGACCTATTCAATAAAAGCTTGAGAGAAATATATTAAGCATTTCACTGATACGCACAAAATCACAGAAAATAACCCCCCAAAAATCACGAAATTATTAAATATACGAAAAATCACATTATCAAATCCGAGAAGTCAAAAATTAAATTACAAGGGTATAAAAAACTAACGATAAATCAATAAAACTCACAAAATTACCCAAATAAAATCACAATTACCAAAAGATCACCGATAAATCACCATATAAAATTACCAAATTACCAAGAGGTGAACAATAATACAAAAATCACAAAATAAAATAAATTCCAAACCACCAAAAAATATACCATAAATCACCAAAAAATCGCAAAAAAATATAAAAACTACCCCAAAAATATCAACCATATATCACAAAAGAAAAAATCACCAAATTAAAGAAGCGTTCATACCACAAACTAAAATTTAAATCAACAAATTTTAAAAACTAAATACACGCCAAAACGATTGCTTAACAAATAACTTGAAATAAATAAATAAAATACTGATATAAATAACCAAATAAAATAAATAAAAACACGAGAATAAATAAAAAGAAATTACTAAAGTCAGATAAAAATTACAGAGTTTATAGCCAAGAATTTAACAATGAAAAATTAGGTTATTTAAATCACTAAAAATATCACAATACGAATCAATTAACCACGAAGATTTTAATTACCTTAAAGTCAAATTATTAATAAAATCTCCCAAACAAGACAATATAACTAGCTCATTTAATTACCAAGAACAAAATTAATTATCTCATTGCCAATTATAATTACAATACTAAAATCACAAAATTAATAAAAATCACCAAACATTAAAATGTAAATAATCACTAATTTCAATATAAAGAAGAAGAAGAAAAAGAAGAAGAAGAAGAAGAAGAAGAAAATACATCTTAAGAGTTAGAATATTTTAAACATTATCATTAAATTATATAAAATAAATCCTAATTAATCATCTAATACCCCTAGAGATTATTTCCTATACATTATTATTCTTCCACCACAGAAAATTAATTATAACATTCAATAATTATTTTTCTTTTTACGATAATTCATAAAAAAGACACAAAAGGTTTATAATTATTTTTCTTCTTTGTGATAATTTAAATAAAAATATAATCAAGAGTGTATATAATTTATTTTATTTCTATAACTATTTCTATAATTTATATCTGAAATGTTTACTTGTTATAGACATCAATTAAAATATCTATGAAGTAAATCTTGATAAATGGCGGGAAGGGGGGAATGGATGGAAGGGGAGGAAGAAGGGGGAAAGAGGAAAGGGGGGAGAAGGGAATAAAGAGAGGAGGGAGAAGGGGGTAGAAACATCGGAAGAGAGAGAGAGAAAGAGAGAGAGAGAGAGAGATAAGGGACAGGGGAAGGTTAAAGAGGAGAGAGGGATGTGGAGAGGGACGGGAGAGGGGGTGAAAGGGTAGGGAGAGGGGGGTGGGAAGGGAGAGGGAGATGAGAGGGAAGGGAGAGGGGTAGCTTAAGCCAACAAAACTGTCAGCATTGAAGTCTTAGTGAACCAGCGTCCATAGGTAACACAGGGGGCAAACACCACCACCACCACAACTACTACCATCACTACCACCATCACTACCACCACCACAACTACTACCACCACTATCACCATCACTACTACTACCACCACTATCACCATCACTACCACCACCACAACTACTAGCACCACCACTACTACTACCACCACCCTCACAACTACCATCAATTTTTCTACTATCACCACTACTACCACCATCACTACTACAACCACCACTACAACCACCACTACTTCCAGCACCACCATTACAACTACTATACGAATACTACTACCACCACCACCACTATACCATCATCACTACCACCATCTATACTGCCAATATTACCACTACCACAACTACAACCACTACCAACATTAGCATCACCAATAATTACTCTCTCTCTCTCTCTCTTGTAATTATTGCACCTTAACCATCGTCCTCAAACGGTTAAATCATCTTCCTCAAAGGGTTAAACCATCGTCCTCAAAAGGTTAAACCATCTTCCTCAAAGGGTTAAACCATCTTCCTCTAAGGGTTAAACCATCTTCCTCTAAGGGTTAAACCATCGTCCTCAAAGGGTTAAACCATCTTCCTCTAAGGGTTAAACCATCGTCTTCAAAGGGTTAAACCATCTTCCTCTAAGGGTTAAACCATCGTCCTCAAAGGGTTAAACCATCTTCCTCTAAGGGTTAAACCATCGTCCTCAAAGGGTTAAACCATCTTCCTCTAAGGGTTAAACCATCGTCCTCAAAGGGTTAAACCATCTTCCTCTAAGGGTTAAACCATCGTCTTCAAAGGGTTAAACCAGGGTTAAACCATCTTCCTCTAAGGGTTAAACCATCTTCCTCTAAGGTTAAACCATCGTCCTCAAAGGGTTAAACCATCTTCCTCTAAGGGTTAAACCATCGTCCTCAAAGGGTTAAACCATCTTCCTCTAAGGGTTAAACCATCGTCCTCAAAGGGTTAAACCATCTTCCTCTAAGGGTTAAACCATCGTCCTCAAAGGGTTAAACCATCTTCCTCTAAGGGTTAAACCATCGTCCTCAAAGGGTTAAACCATCTTCCTCTAAGGGTTAAACCATCGTCCTCAAAGGGTTAAACCATCTTCCTCTAAGGGTTAAACCATCGTCCTCAAAGGGTTAAACCATCTTCCTCTAAGGGTTAAACCATCGTCCTCAAAGGGTTAAACCATCTTCCTCTAAGGGTTAAACCATCGTCCTCAAAGGGTTAAACCATCTTCCTCTAAGGGTTAAACCATCGTCCTCAAAGGGTTAAACCATCCTCCTCTAAGGGTTAAACCATCGTCTTCAAAGGGTTAAACCATTGTTTGTTTTGCCAATTAACACAAACAATTCATTAGGGCTCTTATGGTATAAAATTAATGAGAAAAAATTTGAAATAGAGACAAATAGTTGAAATAGGAAGAAATACTTTACATAAGGGCCGAAATAGTTAAATAGGGATATATACTTAAAACTGGGGACCAATTTGTTGAAATATAGTTAAAATAGGGACAGATATTTGAAATGGGGATATAAACAGTTCAAATAGGAACATAAATAGCCCTAGTTGGCACAAATAGTTCAAATGGGGACATAAATAGGAAGAAATAGCTCCCCCAAACAATTAAAAACGAAAAAAAAAAAACCGAAACACGAAGCCTAAGCCAGTGTCAGTAGTAAGGGATCGGGACGCGGTGTACACAAGTCCTGCATCATATATAAGCATTAGGAGGGGGAGGAGGAGGAATGGGGAGGAAGGAGGGGAGAAGAGAGAGAGAGAGGAGAGAGGGGGAGGGGGGGGGGGAGATCTGAGCCCATTTCTAAAGGCCTGAGCACGATCTATCTACCCTCCTCCCCCTCTTCTTCTTCTTCCCCTCCCTCCTCATTTACGACCTCTCTCTTCCCCTCCTCTCCCTACCCTCCCCACTGAACCCAAATCATGAGCCGTGTTCAACTTTCAATTGTGACGCTGGATGGAAGAGAAGGGGAGATGGTCAGTAAAGGGTCAAGGAGAGACGGGAAAGAGGAGAGAAGGAGAAGCAAGAGATAGAGAGTTGAAGGAGGAAGAGGAAGTGTAAAAAAGAGAAAAAGGAAGAAGATAACGGATAAGGAACCAACATAAAATAAGATAAATACAAGAAACAGCAAAGACAAGATAAACAACAATAGAATAGGAAGAGACGTAGAGAAAAAACTAAAAATAAATAAATGAAAAACGAAAATAACACGACTATATGAATAAATGTTTAGTTATGAGACACACACACACACACACACACACACACGTTCTCTCTTTCTCTAACCATATATCTATCTTTCTCTCGCTCTCTTTCTCTCCATTTCTCTCACTCTATCTATCTCTTC